TGTCTCCCAAGAGACAGGTGGATGCCAACTGCCTTAAATTCAATCACATACTGGTAAATTCAGGTTAAGAACGCAAGAAGAGCCTGTTGGATCAGGACAGTGGCCCACATAGTCCAACATCCTGTTCTCACAGTAGCTGATCAGATGCCCATTATGGGAAGCCTGAGAGCAGGACCCGTACACAGGAGCACTGTCTCCCCTCCTGCAGTTTCCAGCAGCTGATATTCAGAAATATTGCTGCCTCTGACCACGGAGGAAGAGCATAGCCATTGTGGTTCATAGCCACACTAACCCGCTCATCCATGAATATGTCTAATCCTCTTTTAAAGCCATCTAAGTTGGAGGCCATTGCTGTCTCCTGTGGGAGTGTGTTCCACAGTTTAAGTATGCACTGCGTGAAGAAGTTATTTCTTTTGTTATGCAATTATAGCTGATTGGAAGCTTTTGCGCAGCAAACCCACGTCCCCAAAAGTTTGGACTTCTTGCAGTAATGAAAGGGATGTGAAAACAACCTAGAACGTTGCTTTGATGCAAGTTCATTTTCCTTTCTAACAAACAAATCAGAAACAATGCTCATTAAGTAGCCAACGTCATCTAACCTTCCTGCAAACAAATGAGGATGAATGCCCAATAAACAGGTCATCTGGAAACACCCCTCCCCCTCTCTTCTGCTTTCCAAACCAACTGTTTTGGTACCAGTGGCAAAAGCTGCAACCCTAGTCACACAGCAGACAGTTCTGGAAACTGTATCCTACAAAGAAGCTGGTGCTTCTTGAAATCTGGAAGTGCTGGCCATTTGGGAGTGAGGTGTTGGGCAACACTATGTGTAAGGGTTCACATCAAACGGCGGAGGTCCTTGGAGGCAGGCAGGCAGGCAGAGGGATAACTAAACCTCTTTAGCTCCCACACCAAAGCCCTAGGAAGGAACTAGAGTTAGTTACTCCTAACAGCAGTCTACACACCACCCTAATAAAACTACAAGTTACAGGGTTCTTTGGGAGGCTGGCCTGGCAATCTGCTTTAGGTGACAGTGACCTGCTTCAGCCATTGCCATGAGTTTGGGGATGGCAGGATAGATGAAGGCAGGAATTTGTGCCTGCAGGACAGGCTCCATTGCCATCTGGATGTGTCTCCCACTATTCATAAAAACTCTAGGACTTCCTGGGCCTAAAAGGTGGCAGCATAAACTCTGGGTGGGGGTGCGGGGTGTCTGCCTCCCCCTGCCCCTCTCCTCTCCTCTCCCACTTCTGTCTCCAGGGCTCAGCACTGGTAGGGAACACAGAAGAGCCATCACCAGGGCCCACCTCACGACGCCATCAGGACCTGCCCTGTCACATCGTCAGGGGTTAGCCCTAGGTCTCAGGTTTCGGCCCTGAAATCTCAGGGTCTGGGATGCTCCTGACCTGGCAACCCAACCTAAGAACAATGCAAGCTGTGTGAGGAGGGCCGGCCCCGCAATGAGTGTGAACCAGGTAACTGCATGGCAAAGTGCAGAACTGGACCATAACCTTTATCAAAGTTACAAGCCATTGCAAGCTCTTTGGTTTCTAAAATTTTGGGCCCAGTTCCCTCGATTCCCCCTGCCTCTCTTTTCCTTATCATTCTAGATTTTGCTTTTTAGGTTGAGCAAAAGGGGAAAAGGTGGGGGGAAGAAAATGACCGAAGGGCTTACAGGGCAGCAGGCAATGGAGGCAAATGCCTGGCACCTTTTAAGATTTCGGGGCCAACTAGGATGACATGGCCGAGGGGGCAGCTAGTGAATTTGGAGAGGCAGCAGCATATAGGTAAAGTGATACCCTTTACTGGGCCAACTTTTGTTGTCGGAAGATTACGGGAAGCTTTGGAGTCAAGCAGAAAGCCACTGCAGCAGGGCATTCTTTATCGCCAACAGAAGTTGTTCCAGTGGAAGGAAGGGATCTCCTTTCCTGTCTTGCATTGCATTCTTCCTGGGCATGCAATGCAGCAGTCAGCTTCCCGGTGCAAGGATGCTTCTGCAATGCAAGGCATGGAAGAAGCAACACCGATTGCCTAGCATGTTTTTTATTCACTTGTACTTGCTTTACCCTGCATGGTTCTGAAATCTGTCTGTTCGAGAAAACAGGCAGTGTGTGCATGCCTGAGAAAGGAATCCTCTTCCAGGCAGCAGGCGCCCTCGCTAGGAAAGGGAGATCCATTCCCTGCAGAGGCCTGGTTTCACACCCGGCAGCTGCTCAGAGGGTAATCTTAGGAACTCAGCTGGGAAGATCAGCAGCCCCTGAAGCACTTCCAGGCAGTCATCACTTGTGTAGATGAATGCGGGAATCACGATGGCACACTCCAGAAGGCCCTTCGCTCTTCCTCTAGCCCCTGCCCCCACTGCAAGAGAAAGTGCCAGTTTTAAAGCACATGGAACCCTGGTGAAGCCTTTGATCTATTTTTCCACGGCAAGCAAGATCAATTTTCATCTACCTCATCCAGCCACAGATCAAAAGGAACAATGTTCAGAGGAGGAAAATGGAGGGGGGGAGGAGGGGGATTCTTCTGTACCCTGAAAGTGTAAGGGGAATGCAAAACAAGAAGAAATGGCACCGCTCTTTGTTACAGCTATGAATCCACGTCTTCTTGTCCCTGAACCTATTGCATGTGTGACCACACTCTTGTCTTCGGACAATGCAGGGTTGGTGTAGAGAGACACTTTGGTGTTTAGTGTTTAGAGCAGAAGTTCCCGAACATTTTCAGGGCGCTGCTCCCTTGGTCCATAAACTGATCCCCACTGCCCGCTACTCTACCCTACTCTATAAAAATCATGATTCACAATAGTTGTTTGCATGACCTCTTTAAGGAGAATAACAACACAGTAAAATTCAAAACAGTAGCAGTTTATTGCACATTTATTCAAAATCCAGTTAAAGCTATTGGGTTTAATTAATTGAACAAAACTGATGAACTTCAATTATACCAACTTTTCAAAGTGATAGCCATTTAGAACTCCAGAGCCTCACTGCTACTCCCCTGCCTCTTAATGCCCTCCATGGTCATCCCACAGCCCCCCAGGTAGTGGTACCACCTCCTTTGGGAACCAATGGCATACAGTCTTAGACTAGACCCAAATAGATCCATGTTCCAATCCCACCCAGCCACCCAAGCCCACCAACTTGGGACGGTCTATTCAATTTATTCATTTCATAAAATTTATACTTTGCTTGATTGTATAAAAAACCCTCAAAGTGGTCTACAAAAGGAGTCAAATGATGTTATAGGTAAAAACAGTTTAAAACAACTATTTAAAAGCACTGAAAAGGTTAAAATGAACAATAAATTAAAACACTAATCAAAGTTCTATCTATCTGAAATGAAATGAAAAATGGGTAGACTTGCCTACACAAAAATGTTTTTAGCAGGTGCTGAAAAGAATATAGTGAAGGCACCTGCCTGATGTCAACAGGCAGGGAGTTCCGAAGTGTAGGTGCTGCCACACGACAGGATTTATTTCTTACAAATGCTGAATGGGTATTTTGTGCAGCAGTGCCAGTTCTGCATATTGAGGTGGTAAGGTGACATTGTAGGTAAACTGGTTTTAAGTTGTTAGTAGCAACTTGAATTTGGCCCAATGGCAAATTGACAACCAGCGCAGATCTCTGAGCACAGGTGTTACATGCTGACAAGGTCTCGCTCCTGTCAGCAGTTATGCTGCAGCATTCTGCAATCACTGCAGTCTCCAAATCAAGCATGAGGGAAGCCCCACATAGAACACATTGCAGTAATCCAGTCTTGAAGTAAGAAATGCATGAACAACTGTGGCCACATATTCCCAGTCCAGGAATGGCAGTAGCTGTTGTACCAACTGCAGTTGGGAAATGGCACTTCATGCCCCTGAAGCTATCTGAGCCTCCAGGGACAGAGCTGTGTCTGGAAGTACCTCCAGACTTAGTCTAACCTATCTGCCAGGGTTGTTGAGAGGATCAAATGAGGACCTTGAGCTCCTTGGATGCAAGGGGAGTGGGGTTAAATGAAAGAAATGTTGTTAGGCTGTCTTTCTTGACGGTTCAACTCTTTCCTCAATCCCAGGGCCTCTAGTAGTCTATTCTCCGAATGGGATGAGATTGCACACATCTCATCTCCAATACACACACATGGAGATGCACCCAGGCAAGTGCCATGCAGCTCACACCTTGCCTTTTAACATGCTAGTGGGGCTCATTGACAACATATTGCTCTCTGGGCTAAAAGTTTGCTTTAAAATAAAAAGCCCCAAAAGGCAATTCCTCTCCCTTAAAAGCAAAAACAAAAAAACCCCAGGCTTCTAAATTTTTGAAACCCCCCCGCAAAAAGCCCTAGCTATTACAGAGTGAAGACAAACAGTTCACAGTTGTGAAAGGGAGTGGGTGGCTTTGGGTCATAATCCTTTAGTGGAGAACAGGGGCGTTAACAAGCCTGCCTCAATTTCCTTCAGAGATATGTTGGAGGCCCACACTCAGGAGGAGTGAGAAAGACAAGCTTATTGTGATAAAACACGCACACCCTTTGCAAATTCTGGGGAGATGGGGGGGGGGAGATTGCTTTTTCTCTTGTGATATGCAACTATGTTGGAAGATCCAGGGTGCATAAAAGGAAGTCCTTCACACAGAGCATAGTTAAACAATGGAACTTGCAGGGAAGGCCACCTGCTCAGATGTCTGAACGAGAGGACTGGAGAAATTTGTGGCTTTGCTCTCTGTCTCCATGGTCAGAGGCAGTAAATGCAGCTGAATACCAGTTGCTGGAAACCACAGTTGGAGGCCATTTGTGCTCCTGTTTGTGGATTTCCCAGAGTCATCTGGTTGGCCACTGTGAGAACAGGATGCTGGACTACATGGGCTGCTGGCCTGGTTTCCCAGGCTGTTCTCATGTTGTTAACAGAAAAACAGGAGGGTGCCTTATTCAGAGTCAGAGCATTGGTCCGTCTAGCTCAGTATTGTCTGTTCTGACTGGCAGCAGCTCTCCAGGGTTTCAGGAAAGGAGTCTGTCTCAGCCCTACCTGGAGGTGCCTCTGGGGATTGAACCCAGGACCTTCTGCATGCAAGGCAGATACTCATGTCCAAGATACCTCCAAGTGCCCCTATTTTCCAGGGACAGTCCCAGATTTACAGAAAACCATCCCAGTTTCTGATTTGATCTTGAATGTCCCACTTTTCCTTAAGATACCCCTTTTTTCTTTGGAGAAATTTTGGAGAGTATGGCAGGACATCACTATTTTCATTGGAGGGTCTGGAGTTATGCAACACCTGAGCCAAGGGAATAAGTAACTGTACAACCTTTAGAAGACATCTGAAGGTAGCCATATAGGAAGTGGTTTTTTATTGTTTAATGTTGTTGTTGTTTGGAAGCTGCCCAGAGTGGCTGGAGCAACCCAGTCAAATGGGTGGGGTATTATTATCATCATCAAAGAAAAGGAAATGCGAGAAAGCAAAGTGGCTGTCCAACGAGTCCTTACAAATAGCGGGGGAGAGAAGGCAAGCAAAATGCGAGGAAGATAGTGAAAGATACAGGAAATTGAATGCAGATTTCCAAAAAATAGCAAGGAGAGACAAGAAGGCCTTCTTAAACGAGCAATGCAAAGAAATAGAGGAAAACAACAGAATGGGAAGAACCAGAGATCTGTTCCAGAAAATCGGAGAAATGAAAGGAACATTTCATACAAAGATTACCATAATAAAGGACAAAAGTGGTAAGGACCTAACAGAAGCAGAAGACATCAAGAAGAGGTGGCAAGAATACACAGAGGAATTATACCAGAAGGATATGGATGGCTTGTACACCCCAGGTAGTGTGGTTGCTGACCTTGAGGCAGACATCCTGGAGAGTGAAGTCAAATGGGCCTTAGAAAGCACTGCTAATAACAAGGCCAGTGGAAGTGATGGTATTCCAGCCGAACTATTTAAAATTTTAAAAGATGATGTTGTTAAGGTGCTACACTCAATATGCCAGCAAGTTTGGAAAACTCAGCAGTGGCCAGAGGATTGGAGAAGATCAGTCTACATCCCAATCCCAAAGAAGGGCAGTGCCAAAGAATGCTGCAAATACCACACAATTGCACTCATTTCACACGCTAGCAAGGTTATGCTTAAAATTCTACAAGGCAGGCTCAAGTAGTATGTGGACTGAGAACTCCCAGAAGTGCAGGCTGGATTTCGAAGGGGCAGAGGAGCCAGAGACCGAATTGCAAACATGTGCTGGATTATGGAGAAAGCTAGAGAGTTCCAGAAAGACATCTTTTCTTGTCTAGTCGTTTAGTCGTGTCCGACTCTTCGTGACCCCCTGGACCAGAGCATGCCAGGCACTCCTGTCTTCCACTGCCTCCCGCAGTCTGGTCAGACTCATGTTTGTAGCTTCGAGAACACTGTCCAACCATCTCGTCCTCTGTCATCCCCTTCTCCTTTTGCCCTCAATCTTTCCCAACATCAGGGTCTTTTCCAGGGAGTCTTCTCTTCTCATGAGGTGGCCAAAGTATTGGAACCTCAGCTTCACGATCTGTCCTTCCAGTGAGCACTCAGGGCTGATTTCCTCCAGAATGGATGCGTTTGATCTTCTTGCAGTCCACTGGACTCTCAAGAGTCTCCTCTAGCATCATAATTCAAAAGCAAATTCAAAACTCAGAGAAGCTATGAGCTATGCCGTGCAGGGCCACCCAAGATGGACAGGTCATAGTGGAGAGTTTTTGTTTTTTTTTAATGATTTTTATTAAGATTTCAGTAAAAGATTAAACAGAAAAACATAAAAAAGAAATACACAAATATACAGTACATAATCCAAAGAGGAAAAAAAACACAGAGAACAAAAAACAAAAAAAGAAACAGAACAATTAAAAACAATATCACCTTTTCATTTCCGTTTTTAAATTTACTTATTTTCTGGACCTCCTCATACCTCCCTCTTTTGTATTCCAGTCCAAATTGTTTGTCCAGCAATTTCTTTCCCACTTTTTTAATCCCAATCTTTAATCTTAATATAATATAGCATTAAAATTTTACCTCTTAAATACCAAATTTCCATTTCCTTAAACTTCTTTAATCCTAATCTTTAATCTTAGTCTATCTATAACTTTGAATCCTGTACAGCTGGAAACCACTTATTTTCAATCCAACATCACTCTAGCATTCTTTAATTTTGCAGTGTTTCTGTAAATAATCTTTGAATTTCTTCCAATCTTCCTCCACCGACTCTTCTCCCTGGTCACGGATTCTACCAGTCATTTCCGCCAGTTCCATATAGTCCATCAGTTTCATCTGCCATTCCTCCAGCGTGGGAAGTTCTTGTGTCTTCCAATACTTTGCAAAGAGTATTCTTGCTGCTGTTCTTGGCAGGGAGAGTTTTGACCAAACGTGATCCACCTGGAGCAGGAACCGGCAAGCCACTCCAGTATCCCTGCCAAGAAAACTCCATGGACAAAGACAACAGAAGACATCTACTTCTGCTTCATTGACTATGCAAAAGCCTTTGACTGTGTCAACCACAGCAAACTATGGCAAGTTCTTAAAGAAATGGGAGTGCCTGATCACCTCATCTGTCTCCTGAGAAATCTCTATGTGGGACAAGAAGCTACAGTTAGAACTGGATATGGAACAACTGATTGGTTCAAAATTGGGAAAGGAGTACGGCAAGGCTGCATATTGTTTCCCTGCTTACTTAACTTATATGCAGAATTCATCATGCGAAAGGCTGGGCTGGATGAATCCCTAGCCGGAATTAAGATTGCCAGAAGAAATAGCAACAACCTCCGATATGCAGATGACACAACCTTGATGGCAGAAAGTGAGGAGGAATTAAAGAACCTTTTAATGAGGGTGAAAGAGGAGAGCGCAAAATATGGTCTGAAGCTCAACATCAGAAAAACTAAGATCATGGCCACTGGTCCCATCACCTCCTGGCAAATAGAAGGGGAAGAAATGGAGGCAGTGAGAGATTTTACTTTCTTGGGCTCCATGATCACTGCAGATGGTGACAGCAGTCATGAAATTAAAAGATGCCTGCTTCTTGGGAGAAAAGCAATGCTAAACCTTGACAGCATCTTAAAAAGCAGAGACATCACCTTGCCAACAAAGGCCTGTATAGTTAAAGCTATGGTTTTCCCAGTCGTGATGTATGGAAGTGAGAGCTGGACCATAAAGAAGGCTGATCACCAAAGAATGGATGCTTCTGAATTATGGTGCTGGAGGAGAGTGTTGAGAATCCCATGGACTGCAAGAAGATCAAACCTATCCATTCTTAAGAAAATCAGCCCTGAGTGTTCACTGGAAGGACAGATCCCGAAGCTGAGGCTCCAATTCTTTGGCCCCCTCATGAGAAGAGAAGACTCCCTGGAAAAGACCCTGATGTTGGGAAATATGGAGGGCACAAGGAGAAGGGGACGACAGCGGGTGAGAAGGTTGGACAGTGTTCTCGAAGCTACCAGCATGAGTTTGCCCAAACTGCGGGAGGCAGTGAAAGACAGGAGTGCCTGGCGTGCTCTGGTCCATGGGGTCACGAAGAGTAGGACACGCCTAAATGCCTAAACAACAACAACAATTTTCATGGGAGAAATTAAGGAGGGTATGACATAACAGTCTCTGGCGGAAGGTGCAGATAACTATCTGAGTTGAAACCACTCATTTAAAGCTGCTATTCCCATGTGAAGAAATCATGGGGGGGCTCTCTGCTCATGTAAATAGCAGGTTCAAATGGAATGGCTTTTGTCAGATGTGCAGCATCGGAACTTGCTAGCATCCCAAGAATCACCCAACCAACAATGATCTCCCAATACCTGCTAAGGACACAGATCATTTAAGGCCATGTCCATTCTGGCCCTCTGCTTCCAGGGACTCTGGAGAGCCCACAAGACACCAAGGGTCACAGGAGATGCAGACGATCTTAGTATCAAGCAAAGTGAGGGAGAAGGAGGGAGACCTCGGTACTCACTGACCAAGGGACACAGTTGGCATGTGGATCACCAGGTTGCCCAAATGTCCTCTGAGGGGGAGGTGGCTCCAAAGCACAGTGGCATTTCAGAGCTTTCAGCCTTGGAGAGGAGGTGCTTGGGCCTTCCTTAGCCCAGTGCAGGAGCTCAATGCAAACAGCTGGAGGGAAGGGGATGAGGATGGGGAAGCTGAGCCCCAGGAGGGTGAGTTGCTCCACAAGGAGGAAATCTTTCCTTCAGGCATTAATATGAGTCATGCCAGGAAGGAGGCGGGGCAGACCAGTTGCAGGTGCACAAAACACACAATTTTTCAAAATGTTGTAGAATCACAGAGCTGGAAGGGACCACAAGATTCATTTGGCCCAACCCCCTGCAATGCAGGAATCTTGTGTTTTGGATGGGTACACCATTAGTTATTTATTGGCTTTGTAACCTGCCCTCCCCCCACCCTCAGGACCCAGGGCAGCAAACAGACATTCAATTTTAACAAGAAAAACTAAGCAAAAACACCCTTTAAAAGCCTAGGACTTTTTACATCAACAGAAGCACCTTAAATTGGACCCAGTATCAAACCGGCAACTGCTTCAAATATTTCACAACAGGTGTATTATGCATCCAAAGCAGCAGAACCTACCAGCTATCTGTCTGCCACATTCTGCACCAGTTGCAAATTCTAGACTGTCTTCAAAGGCAACCCCATGTGGACATGTGTGGGCTTATTTCCCTTCCATCATGCTTTTTTTGAAGAAGAAAAAATGTGTTAAATTAATTAGTTAAATCCAATTAAGGGGCTCAGGTTGGCATATATTATTATTTCCACAACAATTTCATCCTCTGAGCCTGACAAAGTCACTGGCCAAAGGTCACACATTGAGCTAATGTGGCTTTCAAACTCAAATTCCTCTGGTCCTAACCAAACACTTTTAACTACTACAGTCTGCAGCACTGGCTCACAGATAAATAAGTAAACATGTGACATATGAAATAGTAACAAAAATTCTGTACTGAAAACAAGACATGAAGGCTGGCAACATCACCCTTGCTGTGTGGAAATCCCTTGTAGATGAACACAGTGCCTGGAGACAGGTTGGGTATCCACAGCAGTGACCAGAGGAGGAATGACCGCTGGGAGGAGCGCAGAAAGAAACGCCCTGGTGCACCTGTATC